GGAGGGGGGGAGCTTGCTGCTGCCACCGCCTCCTTCTCCAGAACGCACTTGCAGCACTGTGATTCGTTGTTTCAGTAACAGTCAAAGTGCTCCAAGAGCATTATGGACAGAGAGACAGACAGACTAAGCCCTTTATTATATTAGAATATGTGTGTGTGTGGGGTGGGAGTGTAAAGGGAATATAAAAGTCAATCTCTTTTATGGATTGATAAGAACTCACCTTTTCCCCATGTTATCTGAACTGGTTTTTATTCAGAATGTTAAATGAAAAATGTTAAAATGAATGCATTTTTCCATCTGTTTTACTACATTTGAAGATAATCACCAGAAAGGCTAATTTTTCAAATTGTTGGCTTTGTTTTACAGTTGTTACCGAACTTATACCACCTCGGTGGACCTTCTTGGGCAGCGGTGAATGGTTCGTTATCCAATCCAATACAGGAGACGTTAGAATCCATGGCTGGGGAAGTCACAAGAGTTGTGGATGAGCAACTTAAGGTCTGGATATAGGTGGTTTTAGATCTTACAGATATAAAAAAATGGCTAACGATGGACATGCACTTAAATCAAGATATGCTGCTGCTATCATTAATGCAAGTATCATTCAAATGCAGAGCAAGAATTAGAAAACCCATAAAACTTCAGTTTGCTTTCTTGGTATTAATTTTGGAATGCTGAGTGTTTTTGTTCTGGGTGACTAGCTCCTAGAAAAATGTTCTGAGTTAAAAGTACAAAGTTAAGTGTTCTCAAGGAAGAGAAAGAGACAAAGGATGCACCATCTTGTATCTAAGGACACAGCCATGTCAAATGCTATATACACCTCTATCCTCTCTTGGGGTTTTGCTAAAGCAAAAGATTTACATTTACACTGCAGTGGAGTTGTACCAAACCAGTTCCCTGTCCAGGCACCCTAGAAAGCCTCACATATTTTGACAGATAAACTTGCCAATTCAGGTGTCTCAGTGGAGTGTGAGTTAGGGGTAGCTTCTTTTGTAGAGAACCACTGCTATGTGCTCTCAGCCCAAAGTCAACTTTGAATCAGCGCCATACGTGCCACTTCAATTCTTCAGTTTCAGTAAATTTACCACAGGACTTTAGTGAGTGCCTGTCAGTGTGGGTTTAAATCAAGGTAGTTTAATCAGCTATCTAAATCATGATTTAAATCACAAAGTGGAAAAGCTTCATTTAAAAACAATCCATTTTAATTAACTTTTTGACTTGTATTTCAGTTATTTTGTAAAGAAAAGTAGTTTCCCATTGGTAGATATGACCGTTTGGTATAATTTTTTCAATGTAGCAGGGTACACTACAGCTATAGACCTGTATTCAGTCAATTCCTTAATATATTTAGATTCTCATTAATTCTGCTTTGCTAAGAAGGGTTAGAAAATTATCAACAAAATAGTGCTTATTTACTGGATGATCAACTTTTTATTTTGTATAAGGCAGCTGTATTAGGATGGTAATAGAAATGGTAAATGGCATATAAAATATTTTTTATTCAACTAAGCAACCATAAATGTTTTGGATAAATAAACCTTACCTTATCAGAATATGCTCTATGTATATAACTAACTAAATTGCAGAACAAAGAGATGAACTGTAGTTGGCAAATTATTTCAGGTTAATTTGGAAAAATTAGTGAATATGTTTAAGTGAAAGTGACTGAAACTTAAGGGCACTTTTAAACATGCTCTGACACTCCAGCGTGCTGCAGTGTCTCATGTATTCAGTGTCCCTGTGTTTGAAAATGGTGGTGGAGGAGTTTTAACTAAAGTTTATCGAAAAAGCTTTAGTTAAAGCACCCCCGCCATCATTTTGAAATGCAGGATGCTGAATACACAAGACGCTGTCATTAGAGCAGCTCCGGAGGGCCACTCTAATTAAAATGCCCCCCCCCCCCAACTTCCTATTTGACTGTTTTTCAAGAATTAGCATTTCAAGTTGCTTGGGCTGTCCTTCACACTTTCAAACTGGTAGAAGTTATCCTCTCCTTGCACATTTTTTTCATAGACTAGAAGAGGGAGACAGTTTTTCCTGCAAAAAAACAAACCATGAGCAGCAAACATGTACTCGAATTAGGGGTATACCAGTAGAGGTTTTTGGGGCTGATACTGATGGTCAATATTTAAGGAGGCATATTGACCAATACCAATCCAATTTCCGATACAGCTGCCTTCAGCTGGTAGGTCCGGTATGGTGGAAAGGGGGGGTTACATGGGTGGGGCAGATCAATGCCTCCCACGGTAAGGGAGGGGACAGGGACAAGCACTGCCCAGGTGGGACGTTGGGGGGAGGCCGGAGCCATGGCTTGGGGGGGGGTGTAGCTCCCACCACTACTTGCATCCCAGGAGGGTATGGGGGGGCATGTGGTCCCCAGATCTGCATGGGGTTAGCTGCAGCTGGGGCTCCTCTTGGCAGGAGCTGAGCTTGGAGCAGGTGCTGCTGGCACTGGGAGGATGCTGCATCCACCCCAGATTTCACTGCAGTTCTGCTCCTAATGCTGCTGCCACCAGGTGCAACCCCAGCAAAATGCCCCACCTCCACCCATGCGCCAGGAAGAGCTGGAGCTGTGGCTGGTGGCGGTGGTGCTAGGAGTGGAACTGCGTCAAAATTTTGGGTTGATGCAGCATCGTCCCAGCACTGCCAGTGCCCACTCTGAGCCCAGGCCCCACTGAGAAGAGGCCCACGCAGGCCTGGCTACAGCCCTCCCCACCCCACACAAATCTGGGGGGCACATGCCCCTCCCCTTGCCCTCCCAGGGTGCAAGCAACAGCAGGAGCTGCCTCCCCTCCATGAGCCGTGGCTCCAGCCCCCCCCC